CCAAAGTTTGGGTGGGGGAAAACGGCAGCTGAAACTATCAAAATGCATGCCAAGAGGCAAACAACAGAACCAGGCAACACGAGCTGCCGCAACATGGCAAACATGAAACCGAAACCTAAAACTGTAACTAAAACTGTGGGCAAAATCACCTCCCATGCCACCCACACAAATGCTTACTCTAGGCAGCCGAAATTGAAAACAAAAAAAGCAAGAGCGGGCCAAATTTGCATGCATATTTACAAACTTTCGTTCGGAAAAGTCAAAATGATAGCAGTACAGTCAAAAAAGAAATTCGCAAAAAAATGAAAAATCTCAGTCTCTCAGTAGTTGGAAAAATCATATTAAAGTTTATGGCCTGTAAATATTTGTTTGTAAAATCTTAAAATGGAAACTATTGATTAGAAACTTTAATAAAATAATAAATATATAGTATAGTATATATTTGTAAATTATAAGAGACGAAGAAAATATTCAATTTTGTCATTTATTTTTTTAGGGAATTTAAATGTATAAAATAATTAAAATATATTTGTTTTCAGAAGTATTATGTAAAGAATGTTGGTTCCTGTCGCTCTAAATTAAATTCCGAGGTGGATTACAAAAAGGTTTTTTAAATTCATATTTTTGCGATCTTTGTCTAGACTTTAAGACCATATTTTTTATAGTGTTAAAGCACTCCTCTATACACATTTTGCGCTCCTCTTGTGATCCTTCCTCTCTGTCAAGCCGCATTTGATGTTCGTTTTGGCAACTATTTGCGAATGCAAATTGCAAACATGCAACAGGGACATGTTGCGTAAATGTCAATGTTACAACAAAAATAAACCCCAACCACCCAACAACCAAATACACATGCAAATGTCTCTTTGCCAATCCCTCCAGGGATTTCCCTACATATATGTATATGCTAAAGGGGGATATAGCTACTATAGCGCCTTCGTTGATAAGTAGTTTTTACCGAAGGGTTTCCTTTTCTCAGCAGCTGAATAACAAAAGAAAGAAATTTGCAAATGGCTGGTGTGCTGTGTCACTTGATTGACAGAGGAGTTGCACCGCCAATTGCATGGCATATGGGTGGGCGTGGCTTTAACGAGGGGCGGAGAACTTGCAAATGGGATTTCCTTTAAGAAGATAAGGCAAATAGCTGACCAGTTATAAACGAGATATAAACAAGGTAAAAGCCAGATTACAAAGAAAAACTGTCTGCAGGTTAAAATGTTTGCTACACCTTTTTTTAAATAATGCTGCCTTTTTATTTAAATTAAAATTTGTAATCTAGAGAAATTTAAAATTATTTTGAAATATATGAGCTTTTAAGTGATTTTCAGTTTGAAGTGTGACAAGGACACTGTTAATAGTAGATGTATTCAGGGAACCGCAGTTATGTAAAATTGGCACCATGCCGAACTGAACCGAAACCAAAAACATAACATATATTTCCACAATTTCGGGAAAATTGCTGGAACTGAGTTTCCATTTATTTATGACTGTTTCGGCCCCCAGATGTTTTCCCTTCTTTTCTCTTGTTTTTAATGCCTTCCCCATTCGCGTGCGACCTTTTCGTTTTATCAGCAGTTTGTTATGCCAACTGGTCCACTTCGACATCCTTCCTCTTTGTATGTTTGAGTGTGGATTTAATTTTATGCCCGCTCAATATTTCATCTTTACTTTACGCACATAAATGGCATACATATATGCATAAGTGAAATTTTTCGAACAGAAATTGAAATATTTATGTGTGTTTTTCTTCTTTTCTTTTTTGTTTTTTTTTGTCCTTGTTGTGCTCTTTAGCGTTGTCCTTACGCTGTCCTTGCCGGCCACATTGTCATTTGCTTCAAGTGTCAAGCGCTGCTGAGTGGCCAACGATGTCGCCATTTCTGCTTGTCGCCCCCAGTTTCCGGTCTTTTCCTACTTTTCTCTCCTGTATTTTCCTGGACAGTGCTGAGCATTTGGAAAATTTGCCATTTCTGAAGGCTAAAATTTGGACTTAGTAAATATTTTTGTACATGCCAAAAGTTATTAAAATAATTAAAATTTTAATAAATATACGTTTTTTGAATAGTTGTTCCGGTTGCAAAATTTTTTTATATATTTGTTAGTAATTAACTTTTTTTTTTCTTTTTCGAAATAATTGTTTTAGTTTTACTTCTAATTATTTAAAAAATAAATTAAATAATTTATTTTGAATGTAAGCCCATTTTCCAATATTACTTGTAAATGTTTTTATTTACGATAAGTTAAACTATTTAAAAATCATTTACTTATGGGTATTTGTAATTCTCTACTTGGCCAACACTGCTCCTGAAGTCCACTTCCCATTTTTCCCCGCCCACTTTTCGGGGTTTATTTGCGTTGGTGGCAAAGTGTCTCGTCGCCTTCGTTTTCCTTTTTTTCCACCATCTGAAAATTTCTGTTTGTTTTGCATTTTCCGCTTACCTCCTGCGGTTGTCCTTTTCCCCTTGGTCCCTGCTGATATATTCAGATATTTCCAACGCTGTTTCTTCCATTTTTTTCTGCATATCTTTTGAAATTGTTTATTTTTCTCGCTGTGTGTGTGTGTGTGTGTGGAGAAGGGAGTGGGCCCGTAAAATGTGTTTATGCTGCCCAACTGCCATTTACCCTCTCGATAGCATCGTACTTCCCCGAACCCCAACGTTTATGTGGAGTGCATAATGGTTGTTTACTTTTTAGCCTCCCCTCTCTTTTCCTTCATTTTGTGAAGTTCGGTTTTCCCCATCAGTTTTTCTTACGATTTTCATTCACTTTGAAGTCTGCCGCTGTCATTGGAGACTTCTGCTCGGCAAATTTCATTTGCCGTACTCTGACTAAGGGTTTTCGGACTTTGATTGAAACAGAGTTGGGGAATTTACCGGGTCTTAAAATCTGTCAGAAGTTTGTTGATTATAAATTAAACTCCAAAAACAATTAAAATAAAATGTTGAGATTTAATAGTAATTTAAAAAATAAAAAATAATAATATAAAGTTTTTAACATATATTTTAAATACATTTCATAAATTAAATTCAATTAAAGCTCAAAATTCAACAAGCATCTTAAAATAAGAGTAATTGAATGAATATTAAACTTTAATCTTTTTTCCTGAATTTGCCTGAAGTGTATTTCAGTCTAATGACTCTTCATCTTGTCTACTTTTTTTTGGTATATTTTCCTTGGTCTTTCATCAAATTTGCGTACTCAGCTTACTCCACTCTGGTTATCATTTTATTCTCTATGTGCGAGCATCATTTGAGGTCTTTTTTTAGCACTTTGTGCACTGGCACTTGGGCAAAACGACGCCGGCAAAGTGTCCTTAAAATAGTCATCAAATAACAAGCACACAACCACAATGGCACAACTCCTTCTGCTCCGTCCTTCTTTTGGATTTTGTATGCATGTGCATGCGCTGAGCTCTTCATAAAAGGTGTTGAATTCAATGCCTGCCTTGAATTACAGACGGCCTCTGTGAAGAGGGGATTTGCATGGGCTTTAAGTCTTTAATTTGCTGGATGCCTGGAAAATGCCTTGCAGGCGGTCTTCGGACAGGACAACACTAATTGGTCGTGTCGCAGTCACGTAGAGAACTCAGTTCTCCAGTAACTGTATCTGTATCTGTATCTGAATCTGTATATGTATCTGTATCCGTCGGATAAAACAGGCCAATCAAACCCACAGACTACTGACCAGATGGCCATACATGTGTATATCGTTTATTTTATTTGTCATTTAGAACAAAAGTCAAATGCTTTGTATGCAAATACCAAAGGACGAGTTACAGGAAATCTAAGCATACGCCAATGTCAGTTGTATCCTGTATCTCTCTGGTCGATGTATCTTTTACTTGAGCCAGTGCGTCATTCATTCTGGCTTATTCAGTATTTGCTGTTTTCGGTTTTTGGTTTTGTGAAAAATCTGGTTTTTGTTTAGGCATTGAAATAAATAAATGCATGTGTGCTGGCTTGTTTATTATGCAATATGCATGACCACTTTTTCCTGAGGATGTCTGCAAGTCAAAGGATCAGCCCGAAATTGTAACTGCCAAAGCTTCCTTGCAAACTTGTAAAATATTGCTATTTGCATACTGCATTTTAGTGCGTTTTCTAATACAATTAAGGCCAGCTGCCTGTGAGCTCCTATTTTGTATATAATCTGATGGTCTCTTATTTGCTTCGTTACTTGTTTTTTTTTCTATGGTTAGTAGCAAAAGTTTTAAGCAAATTTCTCATGCATATATGCAGATGTGAATGTCCTTTTTACGGTCACACGAGCACGAAGATGGCAAGGGATAATCCTTGAGCAAACATCCATGGAAAAAAGTCAAGCTTGGCCATGCGTATTGAAAAGAAAGATTCTGTTTGGCATATGCAGGCTTTCAACTATTGTTCATATTTTACAGCACAAGTCTTTCCTAAATGAATGCAGTAAATCTGTATTCCGAGAGTACATTTTTCAGCCCGAAGTGTACCCTTTAAAATACTCCCCAAAAGTGACAAATTAATTTAGAACTGCTTAAAATGTAAACAAATTTCCCGGGCTAACAATGTTTCCTGACGACAATTTGCAGCCAAATTAAATTCCTTGCGTGGACAACGTTCGCGTTAGTTACACTCTTGCACTCAGTCAACAAAGATGTACGGCAAATAAAACAACCTGAGGAACGGCGAAAGGATAGCTGCATCAACAAACCGGAGGCAAACATCCAAAGGATAACAGCCACGACGCGAAAAACATCAACAAAAACAACCTCACGTTGGCCCTATAAAAAGTGCTTTAACTTCATTTTTGGCGGAGAAACACAGGCGGTAGGAGTTCAAAGAGAGTGTCCTCTGATTGAAAGTCCTTTCTTCCAGCCAGGATATACACATAACTACATAACTCTGCAGCAAAAATGCTGCTCTTGGATGTAAGACATTGTGGTCCAAATGAAAAAGATTTAAAGCAGAAAAAAGGCCAGAGTGTGGAAAGGCTTTAAAATTATTTTAAATTTAAGTTGACCTAATGCATATATAATTACGATAACACAATCATATTAGCCTATGGATATTTATTAAATGCCTTCTATTAATCATTGTTTTCTTAAAAAATATAATAAACATGTAAGTGAGAGCACTTAGAATATTAATTTTGCTTGATTGATTCTGTCAAAGCGTTTCCTGCCTACCTTTCCCCAAATTTGCCACCACTTCTAATACCTGTCGAATTTGCAATTTAATTTTCTGCTTGGCTGACTCGCAAGTTTGTTTATTTCAATGACACGACCCGAGGAACTGCAACTGCGAACTACAAACTGCAGAAGGCAGAAAAGCAAAAGGAAAATATACATATAAGCTGGCGTTAATTACATTTCCATTTCCATTGGCGAAAATATCAATTTCAGCCCGGAGGAAAGTGCAGCCGAGTTGAAAGAGTTTCTCAATGCCTTTTGTATTTTGTGGGCTAAGCAGCACAAAAAGCGATTTTCTGCAATTGATATTTTGTGGTTGTTTATTGTCAACTTACCCTGAAAATTGAAAATTCGATGTAGATTCATTCGACCGCAACGTTAAAACGATTCTGCAAATAGATGAAGAGTGGAAATACAATAATGAAAATCAGTTTCCACATTTAAATGCAACGTAAATACGGGCTTAACTTGTAGTTGATTTATTTATTTGATTTAGAATTCAGCATTTTATTTGCCTGTTTTTTGTGAGCACAGTCGTATAATAACCAAATAAACAAGCAAATAAATGTGCGATTCGGCGCATTTATAGTTCAATTACGGCGAGAACGATTCCAAAAGTTAACTGAAAAACCTCCCCAAATCCCCCGCCTCAATTCGAGCATTACGGATTCAAAGGCAAAAACCATTTACCCGGGTACTCGGAAACTTCTCTCGCTTTGTATAAATATTAATGAAGTAGGCCATAGAAGTGCGAGTCGACTCGAGTTCAGTTTGTTGTTGAATGGAGCATTTGTAACAAGAAATCCTGGCCTATTTACAAGTTTTCCATTCATTGTTACTCCCACTTTTCCCAGGCTTTTCCCCGGCTTTTCCCCGGCTTTTCCCCCCTTTCGCCTTCATAGCTCTTGAGTCGCCGTTTATTTGCATAGGATTCGCATAATGGTGCGGAGAGAAACTCACTGGTTAAGTCACGCATCGGCGCTTCAATTGCTGATGGCGGCCACTCGGTGCCTAATTAGCAAATGTTTTGGTTATTAAATGGTCCATGAAATAGGCGGGCACTATACACATTGCTCTGCTCTGCATTTAATTTAAGCATGGCTTAGGGCCAGTGTATATATACACAGAAAGAAAACCAATACATGTATTCCCCATCTTTAAATTAGCAAAAGAGCAATGAAAAATATGCATTTGTACAAAAATTGGAAGTATTGTTATTACCACAACAATGAGCCATAAAAATATCTTATGAAGATGTGTATAAATCGAATTTATTTCCTACAAAATATAAAAAAAATAGAATAAATATTTATGGCATTTTCTTTCTGTGTAGAGTTTCAAGTCGAAAACATGATTGAGGAACAGATGGAGTGGTTGAGCTTCCTGTTCCTCATTACGCTCTTAAACGGAGACAAAAGACTTGATTAGAGTCACAAGAGTTTAGAGTGTTGCTATTCCTGCGCCCTGCCACGCCCCCATTTCGAATGCCTCCCAGTTGAGTCCATTAAAATCCACTCAAGTGCACTTAAACATTTCCGAGTGCTCTGGCTGACAGTTTTGCGTTGGCACTAATGACAGTTAAGATTTAAATCCTATATATGTGCGTATCCCTTTGTGTTGCCTCGTGAATTGTTGTACTCTTTGTGAAGAGCATTAAAATAAAGTAAACATGAAGAATAAACATATAATTTCGACAACTTAAATGAAAGTTTATTTGCAAACCAAGAACGGGGTTATAGCTGATTGAATAACATTTCAAAAATACATCGTTTTAAATAAATATTTAAAACTACGAAATAAACAATGCGGATTATTAAACTGTTCATACCTAAATCGAAATTTATTTTCTTTTCTAACTCGAGGTTATGGTTGCTAATATAATATTTCAAAAACACAATGGTTTTAATTAGCTAGCGAGTTGTAAAAAAATGGAATTTAATAATATAATATTTTGAAATACATTAAAAAATCCAAAAAAGGGTATTCAATAGCACGTTCCCTTCCACATTTTCCATGCCACCTCTATCAATCTGCTTGCTATGTGGATGAGTAATCGTCTCCGCCCACAAAGTTCGCCCTGGGGAAAAAGCAACTTGTCTGTAATCAAGGAAACTGCAAGTTTTCGCCTTAACTGTTATCGCTTGTGATTCATTTTTGTAGCGCTTTTGAATGGTCCATAAAATGTCGCCGGATGCAAGTGCAAGAGTGCAACCAGTTGCATGTCCTCCATCCTTTTCCCCCATTTTCCCGGGAGGCCCCCTCCCGCCCCTATTATTACCACTCCCTTTTCCTGACCGCCTGCAACATTGTTCGCTGGTATTTGCCGGCCATAAAGGACACCAAAGTTCAGGCTGAAAGGTGTCGCGCCTTGGGCCGATCCACTAAGTCGCTTCGCTTTAATTAAATTGACAAAGTTTTTGCGATGCGAAAAGTTTGCAGTTTATTTTTTGGGCCGCCACGCCAAAAGACAAAAGCTTCTTAGGGCGGTCGTTTTAAAAGTACGCTTTAAATGTAAATGGCATTTGGTTGGCCTCCTTTTTCGTTTAGTACCTCTTTTTATATTTTCGTATTTTCTATTTTTTTTTTGCTAGGGCATTCGTTTTTATGGCAGCCGTGTGTGTGCCGATTTGATTGTATTGTGGCTCGTTCTAAGTCGCAACTAACGAGGACATCAACAGGATGCTGCGCAGGCTGGAAAAAAGGCCAAAGGCAGCACAAAAGCCGATTGCAGTTGGTTGGTGATTAGAGTGGGGTAAAAATGGGAGCCAGCCAGCGACACGTTGCGAAAATTGCCTTAACTGTAATTGCCAGGACCTGCCTGGCCTCCTTTGAGCACCCAGCCCGCCCTCAAATTAGGCTTAAATGCTTGAGACAGCTGCCTATCCAATTGTTGGCTGTCTTTCGGGGGCTTTGATGCTCTCCATCTGATTGGTTTTTCCCAAACGAAAATCTGGCCAAACGAGAGCTAAGCTGTGGCAGAGATTACCTGGATTTTAACTAGTTTTTAAGAGGAAATATCTAGTGCAACGAGGAGATAAATTCTGAGGAGTTGGCTTATGCCTAACTGAATTGGGACTATTTCTTATTTTGAAGTTCATTTATTCGTATGCAAAATATATGTTGGAGAGAAAACCTTGTGAATGCTGACCCTTATATTTTTCTTTAAGATTTAAAGAGTGGTTTATCCACAAATATGACATTCCTGCCAGCATATTTCTAACATTAAAATGGATTAGTTCCATTGAAATAATACTATTATTTAAAACATCAAATAATCTTGTCAAGAGATATTTTGCAGACTCAATTGAATTAATCAATATTTAAAAACTATATAATTTTTCCCATTATTTAAATTGATAGTTAAATGAAAACTGAATAACAGGTGTGTCCATCAACTGATATTTGAGCTAATAATGCATATTGGTAAAGCGAAACTCTAATAGGATTTTTGTTTGGAATATGAAATGAAATTTTAGAAAATTTTACTGGTGCTAACAGCTTGCCAAACATGCCAATTTAATTGTGGAAAATAATTTTCACGGCATTCTCTTTTCAGAAAAATAAAAATTTCTCAAATTTCATTAAGCTCTTCGTTAAGGTCCGCTCTGTTTGCCAAACAAGAGCGATAAATTTCCAGCTTATGCCAGTGCGCCATAAAAACAATTTTATGGCATACATTTTTTTTTTTTTGTTTTACTCCAGCAGCGAGGGAACAAAAAATAATGCAATTAAACAAATAAATTTCCCAATAAACCTATTTGAGGCGGGGCCAGAAAAAAGAGGCAATGAAAAGCGGGTATAAAAATGGCGTAATTTACCTCAATTAACACACCAGCTGGGCGGTGGCTGGTTCGGGCAGTTCGATGCAGGAGGATGTGTATCCTGGTGTGGGTTTAATTGCAGCCAATGGTCAGTCAGACAAAAGGCAGTAACCCAGCATCCGTGGCCGGCCACGCCCCGTTCTGGATTTAATCGCCCCCCTTAACGACACTCCAAGTGTTCGCAGTCGAAGCCATTAAAAACTGGAGGGACTCGACTTCAACTGGCCTTCCTGTTCGCCTTTTATTATTTTTTTTTTTGCCCCCTTTTTGGGCAAGTAATGACCAAAAACAAATCGACAAGGAGCAGCATCAGCGGCAGGACATGTCTGGTCCTGGAGCCATTTAATGTCCATGTAAATGTGAGCTAACAAACCTACCTGGGCGCCATTAAAGTTCACTTTACGTTGGCCATTTTACAATATAAACCAGTGGAAAAGGGAGAGATCCTGAGCAGGGTCAAAGACACTGTGGTGCAACTGTTTCTAATTGTGTGCCGGCCTGCATAAAAATGCTAATTTTATGTCCTGCACACATAGCCGAAACAAGTTTCCATCTTGTAAATATTTTCATTATGGTCGGGCGAGCGGCAACAGCTGTCCCTTCAGGACATAAAATGGCTGTTTATGAACGTGCCCAGAATGGCCGAGATGCTTCCACTATAGTGGCCCCATTTGGAAAGTTCAGGGCTCAAATGCCAAACTGGGGAGAATCCTAAATAATCGGAATGTGTTCTCGGGCTGGACACTGAGTGCGGTAATAATTTGCGAAAGATAAAACTTACACAATTACTCAGAGCTTAAAATGATTGCAATGATATTTGGTGGAAAGTACTTTTTAAAAGGTTTTCGCAATTAACCTTAACCTGACTTGTAATGTATTATAAATTTAATTTTAAATTAGCTACGGTATTGAAAATAATGTCCGAAGTCAGCGACTAAGTGCGATAATAAATCAATGAAGATAGAATTTATGCAGTCTCAAAAAACTTTAAAATCATTTGTGCTTACTACTTTTTTACTATAAAATTTATAAATATTTAGTTCATAATTTTAATATTTTTATTTCGATCTTATCTTTTACAAATAACACGTTCTTGAGTAAACAGTCTTTCGTAGAATACCTACAAGTATTTGTAGAGAAAAACTACCAGTAATAATTTGTATAAAACAATGAATTTGAATAAAAAGCAAATATACCTGAGTTTTTCAGACTAATTAAACGGTCTTTCGTAAAAACTAATAATATATAAATAGTCAGTTTGTATTATGGCACTGTTCTTATACATAAATAGCAAATTTCCCACATGTTTTTACACTAATTAAACGGGCTTTCGTAAGGTACATTTATTTTTAGAAAAAACTAATAATAGATAAAGAGTCAGACTGCATTATGCCTCGACATGTGTGTACGTACTTAGTGTGTCTATGAGTGTGTTTCCCCTGACTGCCTTTGTATGTTCTGTCCTGTAGCTTCTGTTGCCGCATTTATTGTTGTTTTTACCCGCTTTGTGTGAACGTTGCTCGAGTTTCTGCTTTTGTTTTGCAGCTGCAGCTCTTCTGCTTTTGCCT